GTGCAGGCCCCCAGAGACTTGGGGCAGCCAGGAGTCCTAGTTTGCAAGCCTGGTAAAGGGATCAGAATGGTTGGGCTGCACATCCAATGCACCTTGCAGGCAAGTGGTCTGCCACTTCTAAGAATGAACTTGCCCTGAGGGACGCAGCCCCTCCCCAAGTCCATGGAACCCAAGGTGTCAACACACCTTAAATATAGAAAGCAAAAAGCATGATAGATGGAGCCACCAGGAATGGGCAGTTTGTGGGCCCAGGCACTCTCTCACAGACTAACCCTGTGGGTGGGTCACTTTTCTCAGGCCCTGAGGAAAGGAAATACCTCCTGGTTTTCCTGTCACAGGCATGTTCAGTTTAAATGAAAGCTGCTTCTTCATTTCAGCCCAATACCCCTGTTGCTCCTGGTGAAGGAAGGTTTATTCCAGAGCTCCCCCACCCCGGCCACACCCTGGCTGCTGCTGTGTCTACTGGTTTCAGTCCCTGTTCAGTGACAGTGAGATGACAGCTGAGGCTTCAGGCTCCCTCTTCTGTAAGGTGCAAGTAAGTGTCCTATAGTACTGAGTGGGAAGAGGCTCATGAGTGCAGGAAACCAGCTGGCACTGGATGTCCATAGTTGGGGTTCAGGGGCTGTTGGTGCTTATATCTCCCTATGCCAGGCTCAGACCTATCAATTAATCCTAAGTGTTCACCAAGTACTCCCTGTGTGCTGGACAGAGAGACAGAAATAGACACACAAAGAGATACAGAAAGAGACAGAGAGGGTCAGCAGGCAACATGCCCAGCTTGCTGCTGTCTAGCTGCTCTGCTTGTAGGGTTCTGTCCTGGTCCTCCTTGTTGATGTCATCTTTCTTCTGCACTGCAGAGGGCAGCATTTGCCCTCAAGGGCTTCTTGCATGTGTTGGGGGGCAGGTGTCCTGGCACTGGCCTCCTCTCTGGAGTCTTCAGTTTCCTCTGTTGTTTGAGCATCCAGTGCCATCAACGGTAAGTTTTATGAATACAAGTGTTCATCAGGGTGTGGTGCAGTGACTGGATGGTGGCACTTATTACCATGCACCCTTGAGTGTGGTCAGGCATGGTGACTTGCTTCTTCCTAGAAACAGGTCATGGAAGCATTGTGAATAACTCACTTTGGAGAATGCAATCCACCTTGTTGGGAGGATGCTCAAGCAGCCATGAAGAGGATCCTACACCTGCAGAAGTGGAGGCCTCCTACCAGTAACCACATGGAGGGCTTAAAAGTGGCTATTCCAGATCCATTCATGTCTTCAGGAGTCCTGGCTGACAAATCCACCACAACCTCCAAAGAGTGAGCTATAGTTTGGATCTGGAATGTCCCCCAAAGGCTCATGTTTTGAAGGCTTGGTCACCAAGCCTGTGGAGCCCTTTAGGAGGTGGAGCCTAGTGGGAGGAAGTAGGTCATTGGGGGATGTCCTTGAGGAGGATATTGGGACCCTAGCTCCCTTCCTCTCCCTCTCCCTGTCCCTGTCCCTCTCCCTTTCTCTCTCTGGCTGCTGTGAAGTAAGCAGCCTCCTCCACTACCACATATCCCTACCATGAAGTTGTATTACCACAGGACAAAAACAATAGAGCCAGTCAACCAGGGACTGAATCTTCTGAAATCAGAAACCAAAATAAACCTTTCCTGCTTTTAAGCTGATTTATCTCATATATTTGTTACAGCAACAGAAAGCTAACACAGACCCTAAGCCAGAACCATCCAGTCAAGTATCTTCCAGGACTGTGATCCTCAACAACTATGTAAGATAATAAATGCTTGATTCCTTTGATTCCTTAAATTGCTTAGTTTGGGAGAAATTTGTTTTGCAACAACAGATAATATACCAAAAATTGTCTGAAATATTCAGCAACCTTTGACTATGGGACTATAATGTTATGGTCTCGGAGACTAGTGTGACAATACTGGGTAAAGCTGAAGGCACAGTCCCTTGTGCTCAGAACTGGCCCCCCTGAGCTCCCCGTGGAGGGGCACCCACACAGGGGCACCCTCACCAAAAAGCTCACTACAGCAGCCTATTTCCTCAGGGGACAGGTAAATAAGTTACACTCTGTTCTTTTCACAGTAAGGAAGCTCTCAATGTAAACAAATCTCAGAAAACTGATGAGGAGAAAAAGCAACTGACAGAGGTTAGGTATGATGTACAGTTTAAAACATGCAAAACAATAGCATGCAGTCAGTCCTCTATATCTGTGGCCTCTGCATCCTTGACCTCAACCAACTTCAGATTGAAAATATCTGGAAAAAAACTATGTCTGATTGAACTTGTCATCAGTCTCTGAACAACACAGAGGAACAACGATGTACACAGCGTTTACATTCTATTTGTTACCGTGAGCAATCTAGAGATTGCAATCTAGAGCATACAAGAGGACAGAGGGTGTAGCCTAGTGGTAGAGTGTGTGCTTAGCATGTGCAAGGCCTTGGGTTCAATCACGGGGGCCAGTAAAAGAAAAAGAAAAAGGGGGGTGGGGAGAGAAAAGCATATGGGGGATGTGCATAGGTTAAATACAAAGACTATGCTATTTATATAAGGGACCTGAGCACAGCAGACTTTGGCTCTGCGAAGATCCTGGAATCAATCTCCTGTGGCTGTGTGGGATGAATGCATACTGTTTATGGATAGCACAAAAACTTATCTGAGTTGGTGATTATTCAGGGCAATGCAGGGCAGGGAGAAAGAGTAGATTTTAGGAAGACTCTGGACTGTGTTCTGCAAACTCTAGATTAAAACAAAACAAAATAAAAACAAACAGACCCTCCAGCTGTGTTCCATGATTTAAGCATATAATTCTAGCTACTTAGGAGGCACAGATCAGGAAGTTTGCAGTTTGAGGCCAGCCTGGACAAAAAGTTCTGGAGGTCCCATCTCAACCAATGGCATGGTGGCACACTTCTGTAATCCCAGATAAGCAGAAAATGTAAGAGGATCATGGTGCAGGCCAGCCAGGTATAAAGCAAGACCCTATCTCAAGAATAACCAAAGCACAAAAAAACTGGCAGTGTTGCTCAAGCAGTAGAGCGTCTGCCTAGCAAGCACAAGGCCTTGAGTTCAACCCCCAATACTGCCAACCCCCCTGAAAAAACCCAAGACTCCAAAAACAGAACAACCTTCCCAAACTGAAAGAGCTGGACCAAAGAGCAGTTATGAGAAGGTGCTGCACTTCTGTGTTAGCTAAGTCTCTTGAGCTTTTTTTTTCTTCCTGTTTCCTCTTTAATTTTTAGGGATGTGCTTGTAATAAATTACTTAAAAAAATAAAAAAGAAAAGTCACCAGGAGATTCTTCTGGCTTTAGCCTCTAAGTGTTGTGTGTTCCCCTGAACCATGGGCACAGTTTTCTAGCGTCCCTTGTTGGCTTGCCCGTGTTCTCAGGACTACTGGCAGCTGTAGCAGGGAACAGAAGCTTCATGCTTAGGGAGGGGCTCTGTGCCAGCTCCACTGCTCCTGTGACAGAAATCCACTGTGAACTTAAAATATTCTCTTGTATTTAACTCCAGTAGTTTTGCAGTTTTGATTTCACTGTTAGCTATTAATACCACTGGAATTTAATTTTAGAACAGTGTGAGGTCCACATTCTACTTAACCTTTCCCTTTAGCACACAGAAATCCCAACACTTTTGAAGAGTCATGTCCTCGTTGATTTGTGGACCTCACATTTCCTGTCTACTTGCTTTTGTTTCTAGACTCTTGGATCTATTCCACTTGTTCCTGCACAAATAACATACGGCCTTAAAAAATACATAGATATTCTGTGCTTGATTGAATTCTCTTTTTCTTGGCAGTACTGGGAATTGAACTCTAGGCTTCATGCTTGCTAGGCAGCTGCTCTACCACTTGAGTCATCTACCAGATTTCTTTGCTTTTTTTGTTTGTTTTTCAGATAGGGTCTTCAGCTAACTGCCTGGGGCTGACCTCCAACTGAATAGGTGGGATTACAAACACTGGATACCATGCCCAGCCCCTTCTGATTTAAAAAAAAACAAAACTATCCTTGACGATTATCTCTTCCAAATGACTTTAGAATTAGGTTACCAACCTCTGTGAAATATCCTGTTGACATTTCTGTTGGGATTGCCTCGGTTTTACAAACTGGTTAAGAATTTACGTATTTATAAACGTTGCTCCCATTGGGGAATGGCGTTTTTTTTATTTAGTTTGGGCTCCTGTTAAATTCTGCAAGAAAGGTTTGAGTTTTCAAAAATGTGGGTGTGGCAGGAGCGGTGGCTCACGCCTTTTAATCCTAATTACTAGGGAGGTGGAGATTAGGAGGATATCGGTTCGAGGCCAGTTCGGGCAAAACCAGGAGCTACTATGCCAGTCAGTAAAAGCTGCGCGCGCCCATCCCACTTATTACACAGGAAGCGTAATTAGGAGGTTCGGATCCAGAAACCTATTGGAAAAATACCTAAACCACAGGGCTGCGAGCGTGGCTCAAGCGGTAGAGTGCCTGCCTAGCAAGTGCTTTAGTCCTCAGTTCGAACCCCCGTGCCACCAGAAAGAAGGAGAGAAAAGTGGCTGCGCGCAAAATGTTTTCTAGACTTTCAGGGATGGCCAGGGTGATGGGGTGATTGTGAGCCGTATCTGCAGACAGCCCGGGTCCCGTTCGCTGGGAGTCACCGAGGTGAGGCTGTTAACAGCCAGGAAGAAGGAAGTCCTTGAACATACGACAGGGTGCAGGCGGGGCGGGTCCTGGCCACTCAAGGTAGCTCCCCGGACCCTGCCCACCATGCCGCCCCGCCCTCAGCTCCGGCTCGGGTCTCCGCTGTGGTCACACCTAGGCCCCGCCCACATACAGGCCCCGCCCACCACTTCCGCTTCCCCTCACCCTCCGTCCTTCTTCCTATAGCTCCGGAGCTTGTCCCAGGCCCCGCCCACAGCCCTTGCCCAGATAGCGCTCACAGCCACTGCTCCCGCTCCAGGTCCCGCCCACAGCTCAGGTCCCGTCCCGAGCGGAGCTCACCGCCCAGCCCCGCCCCGCCCCGCATGTCCCGCCTCCGCCGCGCCTCGGGAGAGGCCTGCTAGCTCGCTGTTTGGCGGTCCGGCGCCGGCCCGGCCCAGAGGTCGCCGGTTCGAGTCCTCGCGTCTTCGCCGCCGCCCGGGTACCCTTCCCGATCCCGTCGGCGCGGCCGTTGCTGGCGGAGCGGCCCGGGCTCGCTTGGCGAATCTGCTGCCGCGAATCGGCGGGCGCGGTGCTGGCGGCCTCGCGAGAGTGCGGTGCTGACCGACGCGGCTCGGCGGGCTGAGGGCCGCGGGCTGAGCTCCGGGGAGCCGGGCGGCCGGGCGGGCCGGGCGGCCTCACCATGACGGGCCGTGTGTGCCGCGGCTGCGGTGGCACCGATATCGAGCTGGACGCGGCGCGCGGCGACGCGGTGTGCACAGGCTGCGGCTCAGTGCTCGAGGACAACATCATCGTGTCCGAGGTCCAGTTCGTGGAGAACAGTGGCGGCGGATCGTCGGCCGTGGGCCAGTTCGTGTCGCTCGACGGTGGGTCGGGAAACTGAGGCGGACGGGGGGCGTGTGAGCCGGATCGGGGAAGCTGGGCCAGGTGGGGTGTGGAACTGGGCCAGGAAACTGAGACTGGCAGAGGGCAGGAGGCGCCATCCGGGCGGGGACACTGCACCAAGTGGGAAACTGAGGCAGCCCGCGGTGCCTGGCGCGGGAACAGAGGCGCGCGGAGGGGCTGCCCGGAGCCAGCGCGCTCATGGGGTCGGGCGGCCAGCGCCCTGTCTCCCATCCGCGTGTGTCCGCGGGCTGCGCCCCATCCGAGCGCGGCAGACCAATGTGGGAGGCAGCCTGGAAGTCCCTGTGGCTGTTTTCGGAGGTCGTTGTTTTGCAGGCTCACACCTGCTCCACGTTGAGACGCACTTGGCTTCACTGTTTTCCCTTTGTCACTCTGACAGGTGTGAGGCTGCTGCCCTGGGATCCACGGCATCACCTAACCACTGTGAAGCCAATAGGCACTTTTTAGATGCTGTGGCTATCCGCAGTCCTCTTTGTCCAGTCATCTGTTCAAGTCTTTGTTAGTTTTTATTTGTGTTGTTTCCATACAGTTTGACTTTTGAGAGTCCTTGATGTAGTCTACTTACAAGTGCTTCGTTGTGCATGCAATCCGCTGAGCAGAAGTTACTTACTCTTGACCAAAGGTTTTACATTTTGATGTACTTCAATTTGTTGATTTTTTTCTTCTAAGATTGTTCATTTCATGTCTTAAATGTCTTAGGCTGCCCCCAAATCACTACATTTGTCTTCTAAAAGTTTATGTTTTTTATTTATGTATGTTATATTTATGTTTGTTTATATTCATGTTAGTGCTGGGGATCTCACTCAGGACCTCTGGCATGCGTGCCCTCTGCACCCCCAACCCCTTCTGTTTACACTGAAATTAATGCTACATTTTGAGTTAAGCTTTGCAAAAAGCCTTCCCCTTTTCCATTGAATTGCCTTTGCTCCTTTGGCACAGGTCACAGGGCAGCATCTGTGGGGTCTGCTTCTGGGCCTTCTGTTCTGTGCTGTTTGCATTGTTACCACCACACTGTCTTGAAGACTTTTTTTTTTTTTTTTTTGATACTGGGGTTTGAACTCAGGGCTCATGCTTACTGGGCAAGTGCTTTACTGCTTGCCATTCTGCCAGCCCCTTGAAGACATTTTATATTGTCTTGAAATCAGATACTATGAGTCCTCCAACTTTACTCTTCCCTTTCAAAATTGTTGCAACCTTTCCCTTTAATTTTATAGTAAGTTTGAGGTTTTTTTGTTTTGTTTTGTTTTGTTTTTTTGTGCTGGGGATTGAACCCAGGGCCTTGCACATGCTGGAAAAGTGCTCTACCACTGTGCTGCACTTTCAGCCCAATATGGCTGATGTGTTTTTGTTTGGCCGGTAATCGTCACTTTCTAACCTTACTTGTTCTAGGAATAGCTTATGGACTGTGGGATTTTCTATATAGATAATCATGTTGTTGATAAGTACAGACTGTTTTATTTCTTCCTTTTGTTGCTCTTTTTTTGTCCTAGAAGAGACACTTTTGCCGTAGAGGGAAGCATTCAGTCTCTTCCATTCAGTGGAATGTTAGATACATGCTTTTGGAATCTGCACTTCATCATTACATTTGAAGAAGTTCCCTTTCTACTCCTACTTTGCTGAGTTTTTTATCACCATGGATGTTGAGTTTCATCAGATGTTATTTCTGCATCAAGTGATTCGATCAGATACTTTTCTTCTTTAGCCTGTCAGTGTGTCTGGTTCTTTTTTTAACCCTTGTGCTGGGGATTGGAGCCAGGGCCTCATGCATGATTCTTGTACTCTGCCACCAGTGTGGCTGATTCTTGAACATTGAACTGCGTAGTTCATTGTTTGGGGGTAAACTCACTCAGTTGTGGGTACTGTTGTTTGTATGTGTTGCTGGACTGTTTGGTGATATTTTGTCTGTGCTCACTTGGGATATTGATTTGTAGTTTTCTTTGGTGGTACTGGAATTTGAACTCAGGGCCTTGTGCTTGCTTACCACTTGAGCCACACTCCCAGCCCTGGTCTATTGTTTTCTTTAATGTCTGTGTCAGCCTTTGCTGTCAAGGTATTGTGTCTCATGAAACCACTGGAGAAGTGGCCCTTCCTGTTTTTTGACAGGGTCTCACTATGTAGATGAGGCTGGCCTTGAACTCATGACGTTCCCACCTTAGCCTGCCTAATAGCCAGGATTATAGGCATGCACCATCACACCTGGTGGTATTTCTTTCTTAAATGTTTGATGGAATTCATCAGTGCAGCCATTTGGACCTAGAGGTTCCCCTTTTCAGGTTTTTAACTGGATCAGCTTCTGTAGAGGTTGCAGTTGTGTTTCAGATTGGTTCATGTTGGGTAGGTCTTGGGAGTTCAGTTTTGAGGAATGGATCTACTTGACTACATTGTAGAGTTTTTGCATGCACATTCTTGGTAGCACTCCTATGTCCTGGATGTCTGTAGGATCTGTAGTGATATCCCTTTTCCTTTCCAGTGTTGGTATCTTGAGTCCTGTCTCTCCTTTTCTCTTTTGCTTGAAGTTTACCAGTTTTGTTGATCTTTCCCAAGAACTGGCTTTGGAATTGAGTTTTCCCTCCCTGTACTGAGTCTTTGTGGGTGACTTCTCAAGGATGTCTTTAGGACTGCTGGGATAGTGGCTTTTTAGCACATTGTCTGCAGTCTTCTTACTGTTGCCAAGACATTGATGCCTGTGGAGGTGATAAAAACAGTAATAAACAGGTCATCTTGGTAGCAGACACACAGGGCTTTTCATGGGAAGGCACTGGGCCAGGCATGCCCCATGGTCTGGTAACAGCATGTTGTCTGTCCCCAGAGTGTAAGGGAAGTGTGGTGTGAAGCAGGTGTTGGTGAACTCCCACCTATGCACACCAGGAAATCTGGCTCAGGGACATTGAGCAGAAGCTCAATAGGCTCTTCGCTGGCACCAGGATACCTCTCCAAGGAGTGGCAGCCCCAGCAACCAGCATCAGGGCTCTTGGGAATGCACTGTGGTCCTGGTTTCTCAGCCCTGGGAGTAATGCAGGTTGTACTTGGAGGCCATCATCTGCTCTGCACAGCCCCTGACTTCTAGATCTTCCCCCTCCCCATGCAGCATGATCACAAGTCAGTTTCCTGCACTCAGATTGGTTCCCAGAACCCCTTGCTCAGCTTGCCCTTCCTCCATCTTCATCCTTAAAGCTGAGCATTCTCATCGTGTGACTATGTTTTAGGTTCTAAGGCCACTGTCTCCTAAGTGTTCTTGCTAATTGAGCGAGAACTAAGCTGGACACTTAACAGACTACTTTGCAATGTATAAGACATCAATCAGGGTAGGGTGGCAAGGGACTGCAGGAGGTGGATTCTGTCTTCAGAAGCCACTGCACCTGTGCTCTGGTGTTTGGGGGCTTTCAAAGCATAGTCTTCGCTGAAGGAAAGAACAGGCCATCTGAGGACTGCAGGCTCAAGAGTGGCAGAATGCATGGTGGTGGGTGGGTTGGATCGGCTAGGCCTTGGCCAAGTCTGAGGAAGGCTGTGCCACTGAAAAGGGTCTGGGCTCACCCCTGTGAGTAAGGATTCCAGGGCAAAGCAGGGCCTCCCCCAAAGTACATGCACCCCAGCATCCTGTGCCATGCATTCCCCGATGCCCCCCTCTGCCATTGGATGGTGACCTACATGCTCCACTGTCCTCTCAGGAGTTGTTGCAGTCACTCCTGAGGATGCTTGGCACAGAGGGAGCTCCCACACCAGGCAACCTGCTCCTGCCTCTTCCCCCTGTGCTGGGAGCAGCAAACCTTCTCTGTCATCACAACCCACGGTGGTGGGTTGGGAGTATTTCCTGTGGTTCCCAAAGTCAGAATTTTTTTCTGGGTTTGTGGTGCTGAAAATGGAACCCAGGGCCTCATGCGTGCTAGGAAAGTAGCCACTGAGTCTCACTCCAGCCCTGTAATCACAACTTTTAATGGCTACATAAGGCTACGTCAAGGCATTTGGAAATGCTAGTGTTTTCAGTGACGATTAATGAAATTCCCAAGATTCCTTTGTGATCGAAGTTCTGTACCGGGACTGGGAGCTTGCTGCCCCAGTCCTGGAGAGGGTCCCAGCAGGTGGAGCTGCTCCTATCTGCTGGGGAGCTCTCTGCTGTGAAGCCCGGAGTCTGCCATGTGTCCTGGGAGCTGAGTGTGGGCCTAGAAGCCTTGCTGGGCTCTGGTTCCCAGGTTGGAAAGTTCAAAGTGTCTGTTTCTATGCTGTGACCTCTCAAAGCCTGGCCATGTCCTGGTGGAAGGTATCTGTCTAAGGAAATGCTGGTTGAATTCCACTCTGGGTGAGAAGTTGGGTTGTAAAATGTTGCTTCTGCTTTGCTGTCCTGCCATGCTCCACACTCCTTGGTCTCCACGATCACAGTGATCTCTTGTGATCACTACAAGCCAGCTCTTTGGTGCTGGGCCCTCTTAGAAGAGGTTTAGGCTGCTGCTGTTGTTCAGCTATTTTTTTCTGTAGTGTCCCGTGCTGCTTTGTTCTGCTTGCATTCAGCACTGCTGTGATCTCTGCAGATGTCACCAGCAGTGGGAGTCACCATGGTCTTGTCAACCCTTCTTTGGGTGCTTACATGAGGTAACAAGCTCAGCTGCAGGGCCACCTGTATTCCTCTCCATCCTTTACTACCCAACAGGGCCTCAGACATGTACCTTCTCTTAAAAGGAGTGACATGGCAACAACAGGACTCCTCGGTTAAAAGGAGTGACATGGCAACAACAGGACTCCTCGGTTAAGTTAAATCAACACAGTTCATAAAAGCTGTTTCTGTGTTAGAAGAGTCAGTGAGTGGAATGAGGGATTGTGCTGTGTGAGGGCCTTTTCAGGTGCTGAAGCCACTTGGCCCTCACCTTTGGTCTGCTCCATTGTTTAGGCTGTGGTGTGTGCACCAGAGTAGCCAGGCTGTGACATGATCCTGGTGTCCTGGGCACAGTCCTCTGTGCCTTTTGTTCACCTAAGGGCTCTTTTCTGCATGGCCTGGAATTGCAGGTTCCACTCCACTGTCCACGAGGGGGCAGTCTTGGCCAGGTCCATTTACGTGGTACTTTTTTGTTTACTGTATTTTTTGTTATAGAAAATATCAAATGTTACCAGGTGTGGTGGTTCAAACCTGTAATTCTAGCACTTAGGAGGAGGAGGCAGGAGGATCTCAAAATTGAGGACATTCTGAGCTATATAGCAAGACTGTCTCAAAAAACCAACACCAAAAAAAAAAAAAAAAAGAGAAAATGATGAAGAAAACAGCAAATATTCTTAGAAGTAGAGCACACCTACAGGGCAAGCATTGCCAGTTGGCAATTGCAGCCTGAGGTCACAGTTGGACTTTCTTCTTTCACACTTCAGGGAGCCTAAGTGTGAGCCATGCCTCAGCATGCTGAGATTTGCTGAGTAAGTGCTTTTTATACCATCCAGGAATGCTCTCCACTGCACGCGCATGTGGGGACTGGGGGAAGCAAAAATTAAGGAGCCTCTTCCAGAGCAGGTGCAGCTGCAGCAGGCTCAGGCAGGGTGTTGGGGAGAGGTGAGATATGGGAGCCCCACAGGGAGCAAGGAGAGTGATGGAGGAAGGGGAGTGGAGGGCAGAGGGTGTGTGTGTGTGTGTGTGTGTGTGTGTGTGTGCACACGCGTGGAGGTAGCAGTGACTTGGTGGCTTTGCAGGGTGCTTTGGAGCATGAAAATATTGCATTGAACACTCAGCCAAACTTGAAGTCACCACTCATTTAACATGCCATCTCTCCATGATCCTGTTCTGGCAGGAGACCTTTGGTTACCTGTTCTCTGTGTCTGAGCAGGGCAAGGTGGCTGGAATGGAGGCCATTGAGTCCCTGTCTCCAGACAGTGAGTGACCTTTATGCTTTGACCAGTGTCCTTTTTTTCATTCAGTGTTATTTGGCTTTTATTAAAGCAAATAGTCACCTAAATTAGAGCAACAGGACAACTCTTTTCTTTTTTTTTTTTAAATAAAAGTTGGAGGGGAAGTATGTGTTTGAAACAAGCTTCTGAGGTGTGGTTGTTCTGATCCAGTGACTACAAATGATTGTGGTCTTCTTCTTTGGGTTTCCTTTATCTAAAAGATTTCAAACATAAAAATTCTAACATTTTAAAAAACACTACCCACAAAATAAAGAAGGGTAGGAAATACAGACAGTGAGGCCCTGGGCTGGATTCTACAGAACCCAGAGTTAGTATGTTGGTGTTTGAAGCCCCTGTATTCTTAGTCTAGGTGGACCAGCTGGACAGGTCTCCCCTGGGCCCTACATTGCCCCCTAGCCTCTCTCCTGGATTCCTGTGTTTAGAGGCTCCCTGATGTGTCTCTACCTGGCCTCTCCAGCTCTGAGGAGGGTACACTACTGGGTCCTGCCCCAGCTTCTTGAAAGCCACAGGTTGTGGCAATTTGTTATGGTAGCACCAAGAAACTAACACACAGCTCTGCAGTGTGGCACCCAAACTATCTGCTCCTGGTCCCAACCCAGCTGGCCTTGTGACCATGTTAACCACCAGAAGGTGGCAGAGGGACACTGGTCAGCTGTGGGCCTCAGCAGCTTCTGCTGCTGATGGAGGAGGGCTGAGTACCCCATGAGGCAGGTGCCCTGCTCAGCTCTTTTCCCAGGCCAGCCCTGACACTTGGGTCTGGAGCTCCACGTGGCTTAATGGCTGTCCATCTAGGCCCATGCTTTGTTCTTTTCAGATTTTCTTGGCTACTGTAATTCCTTTTTTGCTTCCAGCTGAATTTTAGAGTTGCCTTACCAATCTTTAAAGAGCCTTATTAGTACTTGTTTGGGATCCAGTTTTATTCACAGATAAGCCAGAGGCTGTGCTTGCTCTGTGCTGACTGTGCTGGTGGCTGTCCCCAGAGTGGCACAAGGTTCCTGCTGGTGTAGGTAGCTGGCCTTGTGTTTTACCCAGAGGGCCTGACCCAGACTTCAGCGGTGGCATTCTTGGGCTCTATCACTTCTGCATTTCAGGTTCTTCCTCTCCCTGTCCGTCTGATGGTACTGCATGCTCAACTTCCCTACAGGGCTGAGGTTTTGTGCATGTGGCCCTAACTGTAGAAATGTTGAGTTCTCCTGTCTGTGCTTTTTCATAAATGTGCCAGCTGCTGAGGGCCAACACTGCAAGTCAGAAGGCTCATTCCAGCTCACACTGCCTGGCTTCCTCACTCTAGCATGTGTCCACGTGAAAATCAGGCTTCCATGGTAGGGTTTCTAGTGTGATGAACAAACCACATGCACATCTAATATTTTCAAAGGGTACCTAGGGCCAACCCTCACTCCCAAAGCCACCCCTGCCCAAAGTGGGGTAGTGTGTAGTGGGCCATCTGGGTTTCACTTCGTTGGCAGAGTTCCAAAGCAGAGTGCTATGGCTGTGATCATAGTAGCTGTTCTCTATGGAAGGGTAGCACACAAGTAGGTAGAGGCTTGGGTGCCTCTTGGAGACCAGCTGGCTGGTGGACTCTAGGGCCACACAGGACTTGGTCCCTGCCCTCCAAGAGCCTATAGTCCAGCAGGAGTCACTATACAAGTGTAATGTGTCGGATGGCTGGCCTGGGGCATAGCAGAGGGCTATAAAGAGGGACATGAGGGACCAAGCCCACACTGTCAGGCACACCTCACTTCTGTTGGGAGGCAGCCACATGATAATGCTCTACTGACTTGTAGTGCATTAGGAACATGCAGATGGGCTGGGCCCATCCTCAGCTCCAGGTTGAGGCCACACCTGCTGGCTAGGCAGGGCAGAGGGGCTTCTCTGCATGGCCTGCTGCTCTTCCCTGCATGAGTGCTGGGCTCTGCTATATTCTGCATGCAGTGAAACAGCTACCTGGGTCTCTCCACCAGGCTCTGCTAACCTCTCTCTCTGTTTTTCCAGGTGCTGGCAAGACCCCAACCCTGGGCGGTGGCTTCCATGTGAACCTGGGGAAGGAGTCAAGAGCACAGACCCTGCAAAACGGTATTACCCACTGCAGACACTGCTGACCCTGGGGTGGGGGCCTGGAGATGGAGTTGGTATGCTGGGGTAAAGGCTGAGAGCAGAATAGGCCTCAGCTGCTGCTTCTGGTCTGCAGCTTCCGTCCTGCTCCAGCTTTACTTCGTGGCCCGCAACCCTCAAGGCCCAGGCCTGCTTGCATTCTGGAAGGAATTGCTCCTGAGTCTCCTTCCCCGTCATCAGAACCCTTCTGGGTATCAAGCAGCTCTTTCAGGGCCACTCAGAAGAGGTTCCTGGACCCTGCTGGGCCCACAGGAAATGTTCCTGGTATTTGTGGAGATGAGTATAGGATCAGGAAGTTTATAGCAATTTGACATGACAGTGATATTTTCATTGTGCTCTTTAAAAAAGTGCTAGTCCATGGCAGACTGGAAAAACGTCTGTTCAGATTCTTGGCCTGTTTTTAATTGGGTGCCTTGTTTTATTGAATTGAAAAGTCCTTTATTTATTTTAGACATGAGTTTATACAGATACATTATTTACAGAAAATTTTCTCTCATTCCATGGGCTGTCTTCATTCCTTCATGGTGTCCTTTGAAGTACAAGATTTTTCATTCTGTCCTTTTGCTCCTGGGCCTGAGCCAGTCACACCACAGAGCCTGATCCTTCTGTCCTCAGTGTTGTACTGTCAGCCCTTGCATTTAGGGGTTGGTCCTGGTAAGTTAATCAGTGCCTGTAGCGTATGGTAAGGGCCCAGCTTCCTTCTTCTGTGTGTGGATACTCAATGTTTTTGTGGGAAAGACTATTTCCCAGTTGGCACCTTCTCTGAGAATCATTCCCACATTCTTGGTTCTGCACTACTGGTCTGTGCTGGTGCTAGAGCTGACACCTCATGGTTTTGGTTACTGCTGTGCAGCAAGTTCTGAAATTGAGGAATGAGTTGTCTAACCCTGCTCTTTTTAGAAGTGTTATGTTGACTGTTCTCAGTCTCTCAGATTTCTCCTTTTTTTTTTCCTTTATCTTTTTACACAGGATCTCACTATGTAGCCAAGGCTGTCCTTGAACTCATGATTGCAGGTGTGCACCACTATGCTTGGCAGTCCCCTGCATTTCAATTTCAATATAAATCTTAGGATTTTTTTTCTTTTTTTGTGGGACTGGGGTTAAAATTTAGGGCTTCACACTTGCAAAGCAGGTAGTCTACAGCTTCAGCCACACCTCTGGTCCATTTTTGCTCTTGTTATTTTGGAGATGGGGTCTCACAAATGCTTTGCCTAGGCTGGCTTCGACCTCAATCGTGCCTATCTCAGCCTCCCAAGTTGCTAGGATTACAGACGTGAGCCACTAGCGCCCAGCTCACTTGTCAATTTCTGCAAGGGAGTCAGGATTTTGAGGGGGGTCAGATTAATCTGTAGATCATTATGGGGAGTACTGTCACCTGAGCAGTACTGAGTTGCCTGGTCCCTGAACATAGGGCGTTATTTCCACTGATTTAGGTCTTCAGAGTGTAAGTTTTACACTTACTTTGTTAACTTTTTTCCCAATTGATAGCTGAATTTTGATCCTTTTCCTGTAACTTTGGTGACCTCATTGATTAGTCCTAGTAGTTTTTAGTGGAGTCCTTTGGATTTTTCTGAATATAAGATCATGCCTACTGCAAGGAGATGTAGCATTCCTTTCCTTCCCATCCTAGCTGCCTGTTAACTTTCTTGCCTGATGGCACTTGCTGAACCTCCATTCCCATGTTGAACAGCAGTGGCAAGAGCAGAGCCCTTCTCTTTCACTATTGAGTGTGTGGCAGCCATGGGTTGGTCCAGGTAGAGGGACCTCTCAGACTTGGCTGTTTCCTTCAGGAATGTTATGACCATGTAAGAGCACACCTTGGTTAGGTGTAGCCCAGTTCCTGCAGTCTTTGTGTGCACAAGGCATGTCACCCTGGTTTTCTCCTTGACCATCCTGGGGAGGCTGAAGCTCTGTAGACCTGTCCTATTCCTGGTGGTCGCAGGTGGTGGGTGACTAACGGGCACAGCTAGCAGCTCCTACTGGCCAGCAAGGCCAATCCCTGTCAACCAACTGGCACAGGGCAAGAGGGGCTTGTGATTACTACTCAGAGCGAATGTGTATACATTTCCATTGTGCTGTTTTGCTCTGATCTTGTGGACTTCATAGTAGATAAGTATAGTTAGCTCTTCTCTTACTGAGTTCTGGCTTGATCCTCCTGTAGGCAGAGACCAGTTCTGTAGGACTTCAGAGTTTGAAGTGCTTTGAGGCTGGCTTCATGGCCCGGCTCATGGTCAGTTTAGGCAAAAGTGGAGGCATGGGTTACTGGCTCCTTGCCCTGCATTAAGGGGTGTAGTGCAGGTCCTTGTGGACTTTGATTCTGTTTGTTCTGCCTGTGACTGAGAGGGCATCTTCAACTTTCCAGCCCTGACTGTGGGTTTGTCCATTTTTAGTCACATTTTTTTTCTTTTTTCACACAAAATTATTCATAGATTTAAAAAATAGAATGATTCCATTTTTTATTATAAATAATAAAAGGCACATATATGGAAAGATATAATTCATGTGCTAAGCTTTTCTTCTTTCCCTTCTCTTCCCTTCCCTTCCCTTCCTTTCCTTTCCCCCTTCCCCTTTCCCTATCCCCTCCCCCCTTTCCCCTTTTCGTTTTCCTTTTTGAGATGGGTTCTCACTATGTTGCTTCAGCTGCTCTTGAACTCCTGGGCTCAAGCAGTCCTGCCTGAGCCATCTGAGTAACTGAAACTACAGTACACATCACTATACCAGTTTTTCTTTTTTTTGAAGCAGTGTCTTTGCTGCTTAGCCTAGGCTGACCTTGAACTCAAAATCCTTCTACCTCAGCTTCCTTAAGTGCTGGAATTACAGGTGCATGCCACCATGCCTGGCATAATTCTACCCATAGTTCTGTGGGCTTTGCTTTGCCTGTCTTAGCCCTCTTGATTGGTCCCATGCATTTGGAGCCCTCCGCTGCGACCTTCTCGCCCACTTAGGTGTGGCCCAGCTTCACCCCTTGTTTCTGGACAGTGCTCATATGATCTCCATCCTCCATCTCTGCTTCTGCTGACTGTGACTTTTCCCCCAATACAGAATAATGCATTTTTCCAAAAGCCCTGTGGTGTGTTCATTAGAGTTGTTATGCCCAGACCCAGAACCAACTGTAAAGAGTAGCATTAGTGCAGACATGTTAATTGCTGTGATATTGGAAACTACACAGAGAGCAATAATTCATCTTGTGTTTTTTGTTTGTTTGTTTGTTTGTTTGTTTATTTAAGTCTTTTAAATATGCTTACCATGTGAGAAATCCAGGCAGTGTGCAGACTCCCTAAACATGGGTGTCTGTGGAGCAGCAGGCGGGTGGGCTCAGGAAGCCCTTGGTGCCTGCTCACTGTAGGCACCCTGCACCCTGGCTGAGTTACTGCTGGGTGGTTAGAGGGCCTCAGCTGTTGCCCACTGCATACCATTCCATGGGAGCTCTTACCTGGGGTCCTAGTCAGCTGCCTGAGCACCTGCAGCAGGGACCACGTCTTACCCTTGTCCTGAGGGCAGACAGTGCCTCCCTTGCTTGCCTTTCCCACTGGGCCCTGGTGAACATGGCCTGCTCCTGGCCTCTGCTGCCTGCAGAAGTGTTTTTTTCTCTTTGCCCTTAGAGGCTCATGCTGACTTGAACCTTCCTGTCAATTTGGGAGTGTGTCCGACACCCTTTCTAGATGTCCTTGGAAACAGGATAATTCTGACCCTCCATTATGGAGGGTCTTTTGCTTACTTAATCTTGGCCCTATCTCTATGCCTTTATTTTTTTTTTTACGATACTTGGGATTGAACCCAGGGCCTCACACTCAAGCTGTCTACCACTTGAACCATACCTCCAGCCCTTTTGTTTTTGTTTTTGAGATGAGGTCTTGCTACCTTTGCCCAGGCTGCTCTTGAACTCATGATCCTCATGCCTTTGTCTCCCAAATAGCTAGGATTATAGCTATGTACCACAATGCCCAGCTCAGGTGTCTTTTTATTTTCCTTGTTATTCTGTGTTCTTCACCTCCTCCCACCCTCCCAGGGTCTGGAAGTTTTATGTAGTATGATGACTCTTATACTGGTTACCCAACTTTTTAGCAGTTGTGCTGCTGCCACTGGCTGCTGTCTGTCATGAGAGCATCACCTGCCTCCACCCCCAGCCTGGAGATTTGGTTGACATCTGAATTTGACTTCAGAGTATCACTGTGTTAAGTCTTAAGTATCTTTCTTAGAAAACAACAAAGATGGAAAAAAAGAAAAAGCAAATAACACAAGTGGAAGTAACTGAACTGGCTGTCTCCAAGGGCTGTTTGGCTTTACTTGCTTCTTGTGCCTGTGCTCTCTTGGGTTCCTCCCTCTTTGCACTTGTCAGGTGTACACTTGAGTCATGCTGGGGAAGGATCTGGAGAGAGAAACTCTTGACTCCCTGCCTGTGTGTGTATTTGTCCTCCCACTGGAATGCTTGTTAAGTTTTAGGCTCACATCAAAATTGAGCAAACAGTACAGAGCTTCCCATATATCCCGTCCTCATGTACCCCCCCCTGCCCCCCCGCCTCCCTTCCCACAGCGGGGCATCTGCTACTGTAGCTGATCCACAATGACATCACATCACATTGAGCCCTCTGTGCTTCAGAGTGTCTGGAAATCTGGGGGTGATGTTCCCTGTTTTCCTGCTGTTTGACTGTGTTGACAATGTCTTGGCTATTCTGTTTCCTTTGCATTTCAACATAAATTTTACAGTCAGCTTGTTGATTTGCAAAGGAAAACCTGCCCAGGTTTTGTTGGGATTACATTGAATCTGTAGATCAAACTGGAAAGTTGCTACATGTACGTATTAAATCTAGTGATTTGTAGGTTCTGTTCTATGCTGGCAACCACATAATGCCTGTGAACAGGCATTATTACTTCTTTTCCACCTTATTTTTATTTATTTTCAGTGCCTTGTTACATTTTGTTGCTTGTTGCTAGACTGCCCAGTAGCATCCTGCAGCAGTGATGAACTCCACAGTCTTGCCCCACCTCTGGCTTCACTGTGAAGTGTTCAGAACTGTGCTATTAGGAATGATGTTATTAAGCATTTTATCATGTAAATGCTTAGTATCACTTTGTACCTACTGAAATGGTTATGTAGATTTTCTGTTTATTTTATTAGTGTGGTGTGCTGCCCGAGGGTTTGGAGTCTGGGATCAGGTCCAGCCTCTGGTGTGGGCCCTCTGGAGAGTGCCTTTCACCTTTGTCAAATACTGAAGAGCTAGTACCTCTTAAGCCCTCATTTCAGTGAGTCTGCTGTCAGGCTGTGAGCCCTGCTGGGTCATAGGGTGGCATATCTGCTGTGCTTTGTGCTGATGGGGTGGAGGCCATGAGAACTGCTTTCTTTCTGCCCAGTTGGTCAGTCTTAGTTCTGCCCAGGCCTTGGCTATGGGGACAGTGAAACACCCTCCATGTCAGTTCTTGCCGACTGGATCCCTTGAGCTTGTGCTCATAGGAGCAAGGCTGCAGCACGGTGGGCCCTATGTATTTAGGCTGACCGCCCAGAATGGGAGCCTCCTCCCTAACTTGCTAGGCCACACGCCCTAGTTGTGCCTTCCCTGGTGGCTCACTGGTACATGCCTTTAGCTAGCAGTCATGGTTAGTGAGTCTTGTCTGTCAGTGGCACATCAGCTCACACATCCTTATCAAAGAAACCAGGGAACCTGCTCTTAATGTTCTGTGGTGAGGTGGAGCTGCCTGGGCATTGCAGGAGTGGGTCTGGGGTCCACAGGATGCTGGTGGGACTAGAAGTCTCTGTGTTGGTGGTTCTTCTTGGCATCCTGACCTTGATCTATCCTGGGTACCCAGGGGTCTTGTGCCTGGGAGGTGGGCTCTGTCTGCCCTCACCCCTTGTGCCCACACACAGGTGGGGTGTATATGAAGCCTATGCAGAGTGCTAGTGTCAACAGCTCTCCCCACGAGACCCTCCACTCACTACTGGCTCTGGTGTAGTGTCCATTGTTGAGGGTGCAGGAGGCCCTACTTTTCCTGCCTGTGGAACAGTAGTACCTCTGCTTCCTCTCTCCATGCCGTCTCTTAGTCCACAGCTTTTGGGAAGGTCTTGTTCCAAGCAGGGGTGTGGACAGAGAGGCAGCCATCCCAGCCACCAAAGTGCTTTGAAATTCCTAGAAAGGCCCAGCACCCTCATATCCACCAGGTATTGTGTATGGCCTTGTCATTTGCCCCTTCCCTTCACAAGTGTGCAAAGGATGGCTCATTAGGCTATCCCTTTCTCTGGCCAGGCATTCAGCTTTTAGAAGGGAGGATGTCCAAGGCTGAACTTGGCAGAGGGCTCTGCTAGGAAGGGTGTGGTAAGATGACCTGGTCCCTTTGCTGTGGGGAAGGAGGCCTAGGCTCATAGCTATGGAAGAAAGGGAACTTCTGCCACAGGGCAGCCAGGGAGTAGCATCAGACTGGCCAGCCCAAATTGATCTCTGTTAGACACCCCAGATTTCAGGGATCCTCCGACAGAGGCTCACTCAGCCACTCCACACAGACTTGTTCAGAGCCTGAAACATGATATGGGAAGAACAGGATTTTGTGGCATGGGAAATCCGTAAGGAATTCACATTTCAGTGTTCATAATAGAAATTCATCAGAATATACACACAAAGTGAATGTAAAAACTTATGAGGACAAAGGGCAATCTCTATTCTTAATCTTTAATTGCTATTGTGGTCCTGTGACACTTGTTTTTTAATTGAAAGCTGTGATTGAGCAGTGATGTTTGTGTCCTAGGGCGGCGCCACATCCACCACCTGGGGAGCCAGTTGCAGCTGAATCAGCACTGTCTGGACACGGCCTTCAACTTCTTCAAGATGGCCGTTAGCAAGCACCTGACACGAGGCCGGAAGATGGCTCACGTAATCGCCGCCTGCCTGTACTTGGTGTGCCGCACAGAAGGCACGCCGCGTATCCTTTGTCCAGATGCCTCGGGATTCGTCTTGGTGCTTGACTGATTCCTCAGATATTGACTGGGTAGCTGCAGGAGCTTGGTGTTTGCTTGTAGCCCACAGACACCTTATTGGATGACTGGGCTGACCGAGCTAGGGCTTTGCTAGCCCCTGGACACTGTGTCCTGGATTCTTTTTTCCCACTCTTGGACCAACTCAGACTTGGGCACCAATTTCGGTGTCCTCCTCTGGTTTAAGGAGTTGGGGCACAGCTAGGCTGGGCTCAGTGTCCCTGCAGCTTTGAGTGGTGGAGAAAGAAGGAGACAACAGCTCACCATGTCTGCTGGCTTTGCTTCCTCCCCCTTGCAGGTTTGCATTCTTGAGGGTCAGGCCTGGTCCTTGTGTGCACTTGCTGAGCATCCGGTTCTGAGCTCTGCAGGCAGGTATGCACCAGGATTCTGCCCTGAGGAAACCTCTTCCAGTGCCTCCCAGTCCACTCACTTTGCACTGTCCTCTGTCCATGTACACCATATACGTGCCACATTTGGTTTCCTTTCCCTGTTCCTCTAGGTCTTCCTGGCCTACACTCTCCTCATTTTGTGGGGCATCTTCTCTGAAAGCTCCCTAAGAAAGAGACCTGCTTCAAGCTGGGAATATCTGAAAGTGGTTGTCATCTGCCCCCCAGACTGCACAGCACTGCCTCAGTGCATTCTTGCTCCATCATTCTTGGCCTGGGGTGGTGCCCTCTGGGCCTGACCCTTGGTATGGAACTGTTGGTACTTTTTCCTGTGGGGCAGGGACATCTATTCTCTCGTGGCCCCGCCTCTGGCCACCTCCTGCTTTGAACATGTATTGGGTCACCATGGTTTCTGCTGTGTTTGTCTTGTTCACTCTGCCTGCCCTGCTGAGGGCTTCCAGTGGTCTTTGCTTCCACTTACTGATCCTTTTGCTTTGGGATCATTCCTAAACTTTACTTTCCCGCATGAATTTCTTCTTTCATGGTTTTCAATTCTAAGAGCTCTTTTCATTTTCATTTTCATTTTTATTATATTGTACTTGTACATTGTGACATTTATAAAAGTGCTTACAATCTATCTTAGTTAAATCCATCCCCTCCATCATTCTCCTTTATCTTTCCTCCTCCCATTCCTGGAACAGTTTCGACAGATCTCATTTTTTCATTTTCATATAGGAGTACATAGAATTTCCACCATATTCACCCTCTTACACCCTTTACTTCTAAGAGCTCTTCATGTGCTCAAGTAGTTCTTCTTTTTCTGCCCATTCTTCACACATGTAGCATCATCTCTCCTCAGAGGAAGTGGTGTGCTGCTTGAGCTCTTGTCCCTTGAGATGCTTCTCTCAGTTGGTCTGTCGAGGCCATCCCATGTTTAGTGGACCTGGTGCTCTACTTCTGTGTGACAATGCAGTTGTGGCAGGCGCCTAAGACTGTAGAATGGTGGAGGTGCGATATGTAGCCCCATGCTGGTCCTCCATTACTCCTTTTTAGGTTCCTCACCAACCCGTCATTTCTTTCTACTCCTTGGCCACCCTGCCATCAATGGGACTTGGGAGTCCTGTGCTGTGAGTTCATGGTGTGAAGGTGGGGGTACAGGGAATGTGGTCCACCTTAGAGAGGTACCTCTGAGATTCTCCTATCCAGCCCATGGGTAGAAGTGGGGCTCTGGGCCCAGGACCAGGCACAGGAAATCCTTCTTCAGAAAGAACAAGGGCTTGATGCAAACAATTTAACCTCGTTCCTTCTCCTCTTGGCCACCCATCAAGTGTGTTTACTGCAGCCCAAAAAGTATCAGTTGTGAGGTTGGGGCCCTGTACTCGTAGGCCATCTCTCTACCCTCAAGGTTTGCTTTTTCCCGTCTGGGTATTCAGAGGATGTGGTACCTACTTCTGCAGAGACCCTATTGTCCCATGTTTCCTGGTGGCACCACCATTGTGAACTCAGTGGGTGTGGGTCTTTTGGCAGGATCTGAGCCCTTAGCCCTTGGTGTTTGCCCAGACTTACGTAATACCAGACTATCGTAAAAACATCGTTGCTGGAGGTGTGGCTCAAGTAGTTAAGTGCCTGCTTTGCAAGTGTGAAGTCCTGAGTTCAGACCCCAGTCTCACCAAAACAAAAAGTATTTCCTTTGCTGGGCACTGGTGGTTCATGCCTATAATCCTAACTATTTGGGAGGCTGAGATGGGAGGATCGTGGTTTGAGGCCAGCCTAGGCACATAGTTTGCGAGACCCCATCTTCAAAATAACTGGAGCAAAGTGGACTGAAGGTGTGGCTTAAGTGGCAGAGCGTCTACTTTGCAAGTGTGAAGCCCTGAGCTCAAACCCCAGTCCCAGCAAAAAAACAAACAAAAGAAGACCCCCATCGTTGGACAATGTTTCTCATACCTGCAGCATGAGATCACAGACTTGGTTTGTTCAGCCTCAAGGATGCTTTGTCTTTTTTGTCTTTCTGGTTTTGATTTGTTTTGAATCAAATTGTCAGTTTCTCAAAAAAACAGGCTTTGATTGGGGTTTGTGTACCCTTGGGGAAAATGACATTCATTTGAACAAGACTGACTTCCATCCAGTGGCTCTCCTTCTGCATGCTCTGTGCTTCTCTGTCTGGCCAGTGGGAGGTCTTGGACATCTCCAAAGTATTTGATGGTTTGAGCTTATGTAAACGGTATGTTCTGTGCTAATGTATAGAAATACAGTGGAGTTTTGTATGTTGGTGTTATATCCAATGATCTTACAAAATTCAATTGTTAGTCTCTTTGAACTTTGGAATTTTTTATGTATTCATTGTGTCTGCTGCTAATAAAGCTAGTTTTAGTTCTCCTTTTCAGTCCACTTGCCCATTATCTATTTTTGTTGCCCTTTACATGCCTGAAACCATCAATGCAGTGTCAAAGAGACCTGTCTCAGGGATGCTTTCTATCCTTCATTGTTAAATATTTGCTGCAAGGTTTTTCTAGATGGTTCTTTATCAGGTTAAGAATATTACCTTGTTCTTAATTTTGCAGAAGTTTTTATCATGAAGGGTATTGAACTTTATTGAGCACACACTTTGTGTATTCATTGGTAGGGTCACTGTGGGTGCTCCTTTAACTATTACGTAAAAAAATCACATTGGTTACTTTTAAGGTTGAGCCAATCCTAGACACTCAGGCATGGTAGTGGTGTGCATCCTTGATGCATTGCTGGTTTGGTCTGCTGGTGTTTTATGTAGGAAGCTGCGCAGTTGTCCTGTGCTTTCTTGTCAGGAAGTCTGTCCAGTCTGAGTCTCGGTAATGCTGGCACCCAGGTGCTGAGAAGCACCCTCTTGTGCTGTGCTCTGGGACCAGCCTGGGGATGATCTGAGCTAGTTCTTCCTTAATTTTGAAAGAAGTACACAGTGAAGCCATCTGAGCCTTTAGTGTCCTTTCTGGGAAAGTTTGAATAGTGATTCAGTTTCTTTCATGCACCTAAGACTATCCAGACTGTTCTTTCTTGTTTTGCTTTTGGTAAGTTGTATTTTGCAAGGGTTTATTCACATCATATCAGTTACCCAATGTATTGCCTAAAATTGTTCTTGATACTCCCTTAGTACCTCTTAAGTGTCTGTAAAATTGTAGGGATACCCCTCTTTCATGTCTTATGTTGGAATGCTTGCCTTTTTCTCTTTTTTCTTTGATCCATCTTGGTAGGGGGTTGTCAGTTTTTTATTACTTTTTTCTTTTTGGTGGTACTTAGTTTGAACTCAGAACTTCCTGCTTGTTAGGCATGCGCTTTGCCATTTGAGCCATGCTCCCAGCCCTGTCTTTTCTTTTTTTTTTTTTTAATAACAGCTTTATGGAGATGAAATTCACACACCATAATTCGTGGCAGCTCCAGGAACGTACAATTCATTGGCATTTAATCTGTTTACAGAGTTGTTCAGCCATCATCACAGTCAATGTTAGGACATTTTCATCACTTTGAAAGGAAACCCCATCCCCTCTATCCCCCACCTCTGAAGCCTCTAGTCTTAGGCAACCATCAGTCCACCACCTTTCTGTATTTGCCCATTCTGGACATTTGATACAAGTGGAAAGTGCACGGTGTGTGATTGGTTATTCATGGTTATCATTTCAAGGAGCTGGCAGGCTGTTTTCCACAGTGGCTGTGCCGTTTTTTGCTCCCTGTAGCCATGTGAGGCCCCAGTAACTGCTCCATCTCACCAGCACTAACCACTTTTCAAATACAGAATGCTGTGTAGCCCTGGACTTGGCCTGTGCCTTGTAGGGAACTTGTATGTACCAGGTGGGCTCACTTGACTGCCTCTCTTTTGGGCAGTTTGGTTCTTCAAGTCTGGCTGTTGTGGCCATTCCTGAATACCCAATTCTGTTTTCCCCTACCAAGCAAAATGGTGAGCATTAGGCTGCCTCTTTCGATGGTCTCTGTGCTTTGCCTTGGGAGCAGCAGAAGTCCTGAGGGGAGAGCAGGGTACCATTCTTGGTAGAGGAGACAGCTTCTGTGGGACTGAGAGTAGATACTAGCACTGGAAATCAGGAGATGCTTTTTGCTCGTGCTGCTCAGCCCTTTAGGTCCATCAGGTTGATTTTTGTACAGATGTGTTTAAAAGTTTAGGGCTTGGGCTGGAGGCATGGATTAACTGGGAGAGTGCCTGCCTAGCAAGCATGAAGCCCTGAGTTATCACCACGGACACACACACACAGAGACCAGGGCAACAAGCACAAGTAAAGTCTCTTGAGCAGATGACTGAATCATTTGCAGGACCGCCTGAGAGGTTCAGGATGGAGTTGAACACAGGGTGGGTTCCTGGAGCTGCCACCAGAGCTCTATGCCTTCCCGAGAGGCCAGGGGAGGCAGGACCATGCATTTTCTGGGGGTGTGCAGCCAAGTGGTCTCTAAGTGGAGTCTGGCTCCAGGCATTTTCTGCCCAGCTTCTGGCGGGCAGCAGTGATGCTGGGCATCTCTGGATCTGGTGGTCTGGCCATGTGGGAAGAGGCTCAGTCCTCAAAGCAGGGCTCTGGGAAGGC